AGGTCATTACTGAGTCTCTCCAATTGCCGTATTTTAATATAAGCGATGTAGCCACCCCGCTTACTAGAAGAGGTAATACAAAGAAAAATACATTCGTGAAGACTACAAGTGCAATGTTTTTTGCAGTTTTTGCTTCTACCTTATTCCCTGCATTCAGAGCTGTCCGTTTTACGTCGATGYAAATGTGTAAATATAGGACAAATATAGTMAAGTAGAACGTAGATCCTAGTATGCACAGAAGTAGAGTAAAATTGTATGTCAGTCCATTCAAATCCMTTACACTCAATGTTATAGGAACACAAAGTATGGACGACTGATACAAGTTGTGGTATAAAGAATACCCAGTCAGGATCCATGTCATCATCCAAAATACCAAAAGCAAAATGACAGCCATGCGATGAGAAATTCTCATGTCGGGGTTCATAGTGAAAACTAAAACAAGATATCGTTCTATCGTTAAAAGTAGCGAAGTGCTCACTGAATTACACTGACCTAACAACCATAAAAACCCAAACTTAAGGCAGTTATTTTGTCTGTTTCTTACAAGTTCTCCATAGGGTGTGCTTTTCCAGTAAATACCTATACATATGACATAGACAGACACCAAAAAATCACTGATAGCTAAATTACTTACTAAYAACATTGTCACATTTTCACGCAAAACTCTAGAAGATAAACTATTTATAAAAACAATTAGATTTAACACCGCTGTTAACGTTCCTAAACATGACAAGCATGTCGTCAATGTTAGTGCTTTTTCCCAGCACTCGCTCGTAGTGTCAACACGTTTATACAGTTTTTGTTCATAGATTACCACTAATAGCTCTCCAATTTTGCAGTGATAGTTTTTAAAGCGTCCATCTTTGTATGATGATTTCATATGACATGTTAAGTCAAATTGAGTGCTGTTGAGATATAGAGCCATGGGAGATAGCAGGTTCACTTTATAGTGATAAAGTTCGCATGTATATCCTTTCAATGWGAGACTTGACGACTTAACTGACCATGTGTGGTTAAGGCGATTTAAAGAGCAGCGCTGACAATCTAGTTGTGATGACCAAGAGAAGCCTGTTATATTATTGAGCATGGGTAGCTGCAGCAGCATCTTCTCTGGTTTCCATTCTTTTACTCCTGTAGCGTCGATGGTTTCAAGCGAAGGGAATAAGCCTGAAATCTGGCCAGTAAACGATCGAAATGGATTTCSTGTAAGGTTTCTGAAAACAAAAATAACCAAGGCTCAGTTTTTTTCAAATAGTAAACCTTGGAACGAAGATGGCCGCAAAGAATTAAAACTAGAATAAAGTTTCTGTTTATTTATACTTACAGTGTTTTCAGATTTTCTAGTCCAAAAAATGCTCTCATTGACAGGACAGATATACTGTTGTATGCTAATGATCTGGAAATACGAAAAAGGTAAAATTTGATCCATGCCTTTTTTCATCGACTATATAACTATGAAACAAAGATCAGTTCTTCACTTACAGTAGTATAAGACCTTTGAAACGAACCAGAGATCTTTCAGGTATTAACTTGAGCTGATTATGCGACAGATCTCTAAAGAGAACAACACCCAAGCTCAGTTATATAAAATAAGCAGCAGAACCCTCGAACCTAAAGATTTCCCCTTTTCTACTTACAGTTTCGTAAAGTTCTCCTCGTTTTCCAGTAGACTTTGCAACTGGCAAACGTCTGTTATCTTGCACATAACTGAGGTACCATCCAAGCCAAGCTTACAACGGCTTGTTGCTGGTGCTAYACATAAATGACTTTCTCCGCTGACATGTGCCATCGTTAYAAAATAGACAAGAAACAAGCACAAAGACCACATTGCCAGCTTTGTACTATAACAAATATTTTAAAAGATGATCGATTGCACTTAAGAAATTGCCGACACGACTCTCTTCTCCACTGGCTATCGTTTTACTCCACAAAAGATGAAAAAAWTGGTTTCCTGGACGCGACTATATACTCACAATTACGTGCGTAGTGTTTTGAAGTGTTCTCTTAAAGGAACCAATCAAAGTTAACTTTTACGCTACATGAAAACAGCAAAACTCGGACAATCGTTTATAATGTACGTACTAAACAGTGTTTTCTGATCGGTAATATTATCTGGTAATTAACTTTTTACTGGCACTATGAACTGCCATTCGCCATAAATTCTAAAACCTTACAAAAACTCGCGATGCTAGCAAGTGTATTATGACAATAACATGAAATTCGATGTACTCATTGTATTGGAGGAGCTGGAGAATGTTGTGGCCAAAATTTCCTTTTTACTATTGAATTGTCCCTTGAAATAGGAAAAAACTGGAATTCCGGACGTTTGGCATGGGACACAATGAGACTCAGAGGGTTCTTGAAAATAGAACTAAAACGACACTCTTTAAGCGAGACGCTTAATATCGATAGCCATATTTCAAGAATGACAGTAGGAACTATATTGAGTTCAACAATCAAAAAAGCCATAAAAAGATATATTCTCCTTTACCTTTTGAAAGTGATTATGACATATAAGGAAGAAGATGTGAAGTGGTTTCCACGTCTGTAATTCTTGCCAGCCATGCAATGCATTTTTTCAGAACAATATCGCCCAATTTTAGGACTATCGAATTATTTTTCACAATGTCTCAATGAAAGTTCACAGTTTTTTTGTTTTTTTTGTAACATTGTAAATTTATCGTCTATTTACTAGTGAGTTTATTTCATGTGACAAGGTTTAGAAATGCTGACTGGATAGTGGTACTTTATATCTTTTGTTTTATTTTAAAGTGTCTGCGTAAATCACCGTCGTTTAGCGTTTGAMAAATCCGAATGACTGTTGGGGGACGCTTGAAAGCATACCTTAAATGGTACTTATTTACCTAGCATTTAACAYTGAAAGTTAAAAAAATTTCTTCTTGTACGTGACATGGAATTAACTTTTAATTTTTCATTMTCTGTTTGTTCGTCTTGCTGAATTGGCTGAACTTGTTTTAAATTGTTTTGAATTAAGTTTTAACTTTACATTTTCCCCTTGATTTGCTGAGCTGAAATTCTTTTTTTTTTTCACTACTGATATAAACACTCTCATTTGCACTCTCATTTCATTTATCATTGCAAATATCGGTTTAGTCTTTAAAGTTATTGGTCAGAAATAGGCCTACTCCTCTTAGTTCAAGGCAAATCGAAAAAATAAGGAATAGCTATCTACGCCGCAACCATCAAAACTGTAATTATACTGACATCCATCAAAGACAATAAGAAGTTTTTGATAACACGTTAATTCTGGGACAGTGAAACGGTATTTCTACTATTTGTACGGTGCTTTTTACTAAAATATTACCCTGTTCAAGACACACGCAAAAATTTTATCGGTCTTTTATCTAAATTGTAGAGCCTGTTTAAGACAATTTYGGGTGAAATGTATACCCTGTTTAAGACAGCAAGGCCAAAAACCATACCCTGGCCAGCGGCACGTCCCCGTATAGCAAATATATGGGAGTAYCCCCCGGGTCTATTTACAACAAGTTATTGCAACCAAAAGTTTGAATACAAATCTAAATATGGTATCAATTTGTACATATAGGTTAATMATTTTGCTGAAATGCATGTAAATATAGTATGAACTGTTTCGGACCCTAGCTGGGTGCTATCCCAATAACACTTTATCTATACCATTTCAACCTTCTTTTCAAGATTTCAATGAAGCGATCCGCACGATAAGCATAAAGTGAGGGATTTAGAAACGAATTAATACATGGCGGCACTCAAACCTGGCAAAGAGTAAGAAAAACGTGATTCAGCCATTCAGTAAGTTCCGGCCGTTTAGCGGTTGACAMTTGATAAAACCAAAATTAAAATGATATTGCCATATACTGAGTGACAGCTTAACTTGGGAACTACATYGTTAAATTTGTTTCAGCTCAAATTGCAATCAATTTTTATCTAAATTTCTTTTTTAACTACGTCACTGAGAAAAACTATACAAAAAACTATATTCTTGAATTACCTTCTAAAGTCAAGGTCAAACGAGCCTAATCGTAAATTTAAAGTGCTACTTTCATGAAAATGCCCTTATTTAAAAACTTCAAGCAATAAAAATATATGACTCATTGATATCAATTAAAAACAATTGCGGGAAAATATTTGTTTTGGCATTATCYYACATCAGAKAAATTTTGATTCAAAAGATGGAAGAACAAWAGGATTGAGTAAATGACGTCATCTACTCCAACATTTTTTGCCCAAATTATCAAGGATTTGTATCAATATCTTCTTGAAATCTGCTGCTTCATGATTATTAGACCCATATGAATAGGTCTATTTGATTTCCAAGTCTTTTCTTAAGATTCGAAATTTTCGTCCAAGTAGCCCTTTAACAAATATACAATAGTTTCGTTTGGTTATGTCCTCTTATTTACCACAGTTGGGTCATCGAATCGTCTAGACTGATGTAGATCCACGAAACTGCGCGCGTTTTGCAAGCTAAAAGAGCAACTGAAATCTAGCGAACGTAGTATGTACTTTTATTTATCACGGCTCTCAACCAATCCACAGAAAACGAAAATTATCATATGTGATCAAAAATTATTTTTAAATTTTATTTTTAATAAGRTGCAAAAATGTTTAGATCACGATGTTTCAAAAAGTTGTGATTTACTGTAACATAAGTACAGMCAAAGTGTAAGTCCTAAAACGAATTTTACACAATGGCTTTCAATCGTCCAACGATTGAAACTTGAATTTGGTACCTAACAAAAAGTACCGGGCTCGCAATTACGAAGAACTTTCAAAACATCACTGCTGACTATTAATTATTCAAGGTTGTGATTTCCTATACAAATCATAAGAAAAATCGGCCAGAAGATTTGCATGCTCATTGCGGTTCCACTTAATCCAGTTTTGAACAATGCGTGATTCTATTCGATCACCCATCCCTATGCGACACGAATATTCATTGAAAAAGGTAATTTAGAAGTTTATCCTTGGTATTGATTTACCTGTACGCATTTCTATTCCTCATATTGTTTTATCTTACAGTATACTTACAATTTAAACGTYCCTACACATCTATCGCTGGTAAGTTGTACGGTCATGTAAAGTTAGCCTCACTAACCACAGTGAGAACTACCTAGCTCTCTATGTCGAGTGTTAGGTTAAGTTTTTTTCCCTTCCGTTTGTACTGCAACAAGCAGTCGTAAGGTATCAGCCAAGGCAAAMTTGTTAAATCCTGAATTTTTGCTTTTAATATCATTAGAACAGTTAGAACGATCTTTTTGAGATCTTCCTAGTTTAGTGGTTTCTTACAGTACGATGTTAGCAGCTAGTGAAAAAAAAAAAAAAACTGAAAGTGGTTTGTCTATTCTTCACAGACGATTACAACAATGATACTCCTAACTTTGACTTCAAAATATGTTATTGTGGTGTTAACTGTTATAGTTGCCTTTTTACTCTTCATTGAAATGGATATTTGGAATAGTAATTCAAGTGTTAATCTAGACGTCTCCTTGATGAATTCCTCATTTGGTAAGGCCGAATTTTTATTCATTAATTTTTTATATGTAAATTTTCCATCTAGGAAATTTTCTTTAGAATTTGTATTTTCTATATATGTGTCAACGACGTTAAAACAAGGGGGAATCAATTCGTCCTATCATTACCACGAAGTGATGTGAAAGAGGGGACTAACAGGAAACGGTAAAGGAGTTAGAACTCTTATAACTCATSATGCGTAAATATTTGAAGATTACGGCCTAAGTCATGCCTATGCTGCTTCGCCTTTTTGTCAGTTTGATCTGAATTTTATAGCGTAGTAATGTAACTGACTATTGACTTATTATTTAGACTCTAAGCAAACCGAGTGTCTACCAGGCGGGCTTCCTGACTCATTGGACAAACTACGCATGCTCTATGACAACGTCGAGACGTTTGTGATGTTCATTGGTTATCCTCGAAGCTCTCATAGTCTTGTGGGGTCTCTTTTGGACGCACATCCAGAGATAATCATCCCTCATGAGTACCACATTGTAAACCAGTGGGAAATTTATCGAGATGAAAAAATCCGAAACACAGGAATACTTAAATATCTACTCTTCTACAATCTACACACTTTGTCGACCTGGCAAGCTACCTTTGGAAATAGGGCAGCAAAGCCTATTTTCGTGGACGATGGTATTAATTCGTACAATGTTCCTGATTCCTGGCAAGGGACATTTCACGAGAAAATAAAGGTAACGCGTTACTTTAACATCTGCTTCTACGTACATGGTGAGGCTCACGTGCTGATCCAGGGGGGGGGGRGGGGGTTAAGGTGCCATCCCTCTTTTGGGTTCAAAATATATATAGAAAAAGAAATTATGAAATAAGCACATAAAAAAATTACAACTTGAATGAGACTCATTCTGTAAAACAACTAAATCMAAAAAATGTGAAAAATTATTCATTGAAGACCAAAATGTACCATTTGAAATTGTTTTATAAGTTAGGCACACCCTGTGTAACGTTCTTGGTCCACCCGGAGGCTTTTTTGTAAAATGTGTAATGTAACCGCTATACGACTCTGCCGGCTTTGTATTAGATATAGTCGGCTCCTATGATTCCTTCGTGCGAGAAAGGTAGACGATTTCTACGGATCTCCAAAACATGATTATTTCTATGTCCTATATGAGCACCAAGGTCCTTTTTTGGGGGGGGATATGCTCAACCTTTCTAATTAAAAAACCGAATCTCATTGAATCAAACTTTCTCAAATACCACACAATAACTGTTTATTTACACGGAAATACATGACCTTATTTACAATTATTAACAGAAATAAAATGCTGTAATTGATAAGTCAAATATGTAAATAAACTATTAACTTTTAGATTGTAGAGTACAAACATTAAATGTGTGCAACACTTTCCACTATTTACTACAAAATAGTGTTAATTWAACAATAGAAAACAATAGAATTAGCATAATTTAGCAGTACTTAGTGGTATTTGTGTTGCACAGTTTTAGTGTTTGAACTCTATACTGATAGTTAAATTACGGACGCTTTCTCAAAGACGGACGTTTTTGTTTTGTTTGTTTTATAATGCATAATATGAGCAACTTTGAAAATTCAYAGATTTTTGGAGACAAGAAAGGTGGTGGAACCACKATGGAGCTATGTGAAAAACCTSAAAARTTTGCCATTCTAAAAGAGCTCGACCAGGCACTTGATATGCCATTAAAGTTTCTTCATGTGGTCAGAAATCCATTTGACATCATTTCCACGTGGGTATTGAGGTTCATGAATGTAAGAAAAAAGGTTAATGATGGAAAGGTACAGTACAGTATGGCTTTAATCTCATGATCGAKTGACATAAGGGAGCAAGGATGGCCGAGCGGTTTAAAACGCCGGTCTATCACCGCTGTGGCCCTGGTTCGATTCCCGGTCCGAGACTATATTGTGATTTGAGTTTGTAAGCTGGTTCTCTTCCTTGCTCCGAGGGTTTTTCTCCAGGTCCACTGGTTTTCCTCCCTCAGTCAAAAACTAGCTGTGAGGAGTGTCGTGTGGTAAAATAATGAATGTTGAGGTAGTGAGTATGAGTGAATATATAGAGGGCCACAAGTTTATTAGTCTAGAGACTATTACGTGCTACCCTCTCAAWATAAAAGACTTTATTTTATTTTATTTTACATACTGCACAATCAGCTTGACTCTCACCCTAACCGTCAAGGGCCATCGCCAAACACGGGTTCACGGGCTCTTTATATTTTGAAAATTAAAATACATCGTAATACAAACCAAAAAGTACTCTGTATGACCCCATTATGAGAAGTCTTCGTGCTTTTTACATATAAAAGATCAAAGCCACTGACTGCAATAGTGCATACCGTTTGGTGAAGGCCTTTTAAGTAGTTCAATGGTCGTTCGTTATGTTTTCAAATATAGTTTAGATTTCCTTGGAATGTCTGTTAGAATTAATCATTTTTTTTTATCGTCAGGTATACAACAAAACGAAATTGGTTGACCACTTCATAGGGTCTTTTTTCGACCTTGTGGAAACAAATGAAAAAATTCGAAAGATTTACGGAAATAGCTCTGTGCTGGACATCCTTAACCTTAACTTACGGTCAAAACCTCAAGAAACCATAAAGACCATATGTGTGTTTCTCAATATCTCTTGTAATGATGAATATCTTCAACTAGTTAGTAAAGTCGTAAAAGGAAAACCATCGACGACGAGAAAAAACATCGTGTGGACGGAACGACAGAAACAAATACTTCAAAAACAAATGCAGAAGTATTCTTACCTRCGCTCGTTCACCTACGAGATGGAATGATATGTTTATYTKTTTTATTACCAATGTCCAATGTGCGTATTCCTATAATTTTTTTAAAATTGCTCTGTTTTTTSCAGAAAGTGTTGTACTTTGTTAAAATAGCTTTGCGTGCAATGAATCTCAAGAAAATTACAAATACGCTTTAAAGTTTTTCGTGGCTCAGTMGTTAGCTGCTTGGTAGTGATGTCTAAAACTGCGAATTCTTCCTTTATTGATTCTTGAAATACTGGAGTAAAACTTTTCTGAAAATGGAGAAAAAGTGTTATTTCATAAATAACCGTAACTGCATCAAAACCCCGGCAAAATGACTTAATTTGAGCGTGACRTTATTTTGCCTTAATTGATTTTCTTGGAATGTACATCGATATAAATCCTCCTTATTTTCTTTTTCTTTTATTCTTGTATTTTTTCTGCTTTTTTTTTATGCGGTTTTAATTGTCGTTAAGCTAATACTTTAGATTGTGTAATGTGAATGTGTGCACTGACTATTTTAAATGTTTACAGTTGTGTAAAGAAGATAAGCTTAACACCGTAAAAAAGTATGGGAAATAACTTACTTTTTACTCCGACGAAGGATTAACATCCGAAACGTTAGTAAGTTATTTCCCATACTTTTTTACGGTGTTAAACTTATCTTCTTTACACAACTGTTTCTTTAGAAACACCGACGCAGCTCACACTAGTTTACCGCTAGTTCCCACTATTTTAAATGTTGCCACTAATGCTGCGCTCCTCTCTCACCTGACCATCAGACAAAGACTGTTGAGTGCTGTTTAAAGCAATCACTTCATATGGATTATCAACAGCATGAATAAACTTGASAGGAATATCCAGCGCCTTTTGGATTTCTTTAAATACTGTAAAATCCTCGCCACTGTCAATGAGTTTCTTGAAAGTACTACATCCACTTGTTTCACCAACAACCTTTAACAAACATTTTCTCAGYTCGACACTGTTCTAAAAGCTTGTATAATTCGTTGCGATAAATGGCTCTCACCTTAAAASATACTCATCGTYTGTGACAGRCTACGTTTATCTYAATAGGCCTTTTGCATCATTAATTGATCGCATAGTGATACAACTAGTAAGAGCCGCACTTCATGSATGCTCGCCTCATGTAAGATAATCCAGAGAACGAGAGGATTCTGGATTCCAAGCAGCTGTGGATTCCGGATTTCGAAACATTAGATTCCGGATTCCAAGCCTTGAGATTTCGGATTCCAATACAAATAATGTGTTTTTTGGATTTCAGAATTTTTGATGCATTCAGCTGGATTCCAAAAATTTGGATTCCGGATTCCAAGAAACGGATTCCAAAGCTAATTTTTAACAGGAGTCTAGATTCTCTTACATGTGGCGACATAATTGACAATGAATTCCTCATTTGCTGCCTGGAAATTTGGGTATTAATACCTTAAGGTTTCCATCTGTTCTTCCCTGCCACGTTCCAGGAATAGTGTTATAATTGATGCTACTAACGCTAGATTTCCAGACCCAGAATATGCTTGGTTTGTTCATATAGTCCTTGAAAATCGCTTGAAAATTGGAAAGATATTGCAKGAAGAAAAACAACATATGCTTTTGATGACCAGATTCACGAAGCCCTTTATCTTGGTACATTTTCCAGTTTCCTACATTTGAATGAAATCCAATTTTACATTTTAACAGATATTTATAGCCTTTGGTTGTTTGGTTGGTTCGTTGTTGGTTTTTGGGTTGGATGGATGATTGATTTGTTGTTTGGTTCATAGTTTATAACTATGGTTGGTTGTGTGGATGGGTGGATGGTTAGTTGAATGTATGGTTGGATGGTTAGTTGGTTGATTTTGATATAGATTCCTATGTTTAAACGAAATCCAATTTTCAATTTTAAATATCGTTATTGCATTTGATTATTTAGTTGTTTGGAAGTAAAGTATGTATACTATCCCACCTACCAATAGTGTCAT